GTTTAGGGTTTAGGGTTTGAGGTTTAGGGTTTAGGGTTTAGGGTTTAGGGCTTCGGAGTTAGGGTTTCAGGGTTTTAGGGTTTAGGGTTTAGGGTTTAATTAGGGTTGAGGGTTGAGGGTTTAGGGACTGAGGGTGTAGGTTTCAGGGTTAACGGGGGTTTCGAGGACAGGAAATCTACACTTTTAGTAGCGGCTCCGTGAATCAAGAAATCAACCATCCATTGAGGCTTTAACATAACCAATCTGGCTTGTTGGACGGGAGCTTGCGGAATAATACTATGTGATGAAGGTAGTGACATGAAGGATGTGATGAAGCGAGAAAACCAGAATGAACCTGTCATCTAATACTTGGGCTTTCTTATAGCGTGTGAACACAGTAGATTATTAATGTCTAGAGAGCGTAATGAATAAGGAATTTGTAAGGAACGAATGAGACGCACGAAATTGCGAAATGAATGAGCGCCCGAATGCAGGAAATTTAATTGTAATTTAAGGGCGCTTTATAAGTTAGCTGTGTCACTTTCATTTCCATTATTCCCGCGTCTTTGTCTTTTATTACGCGGGGATACTAATAATTCCAGTTGTAGATTTGGGGTACCCGACGCCCTAAGCCCTCTCCCCGCACTAGAGCTGGCGTTGCAAGCAAACCCTGACGGACTGGGCTTAACCCTAGCCTACACCCTAAACCTCAAACCCTAAACCCTAAACCCTAAACCCTAAACCCTAAACCCTAAACCCTATACCCTAAACCCTAAACCCTAAACCCTAAACCCTAAACCCTAAACCCTAAAGTTCAGGGTTTAGGGCTCTTTCGGGGCTCCGCTCTTCTTGATCTTTAAATAGTTCAGGCCTCCTGCGGTTTAGGGCCTCAGGGCCTGACGTTTAGGGTTTCAGGGCTTCAGGTTTCGGCCTGGAGGCCTCGTGTTTGAGGTTTCAGGCTCCAGGATTTAGGGCATCAGGGTTTCAGGCCTGGTGTTTCGGTTTCAGGGTTCCGGCCTGGGGTTTAGGGTTTCAGGGCCTCAGACCCTGCGGTTTAGGGCCTCAAGGCCCTGAGGTTTTTCAGGCTGAGGTTTCGGCTCCAGGATTTAGGGTTGCAGGGCTTCAGGCCTGGGGTTTAGGGTCAGGCCCTGGGGTTTAGGTTTCAGGGTGCAGTGCCTGGGGTTTAGGGTTTTAAGGCTTCTGGCGTTTAGGGTTCCAGGGTCCAGGGTTTAGGGGGCCTGGGGTTCAGGGGTTCAGGGCCTCAAGGGCCTGCGGTTTGGGGTTTCAGGGCCTCAGAGCCTGGGGTTTAGGGTTTCAGGGCCTCAAGACCTGGGGGGTTAGGCGGCTTGAGTTAAGGTGTGCCTGGTGCTGCGGTGTGATTGTTTTGCTTATTGGCTCGCTGAAGAGAAAAACAAACCTTCGATTTTCTTAATGGTATGGGATTCCTTGGGCGGGTGTATTTTTCCAGCTAAACCCTTAACCCGAAACCCCAAACCCAATGCTTGCTCGTGGCGGTGAGGCTGAAACTGTGAGCGATGCCCATGCGCCTGCTTCCTGGCGGCTTTTTGGGAACCCTTGAAACCCCCCCCCAAAGCCCCAAACAAAACACCGAGGGTCAGGGTTTAGGGATTTGGGTTTAGGGTTTAGGGCTTAGGGCTGAGGGCTCAATTAGGGCTCAGGGCTTAGGGCTTAGTGCTTGGGTCTTCGGTTCGGTTCGGAGTTTCGGGTTCAGGGTTGAGCCCTCAACGTCACAAGCAACACCTAAAGGCCCGAGCCTCATCCCCCCAAACCTTGCCCAAGAGTGCAGTATTGAATATGAAGGGGAAGGGAGGTACTCTATTGGGAGGCTTGGGGACTCTACCAAGCGCAGAACTTCTAAACCTCAACCCCTAACCCCTAACCCCTAAACCACTGAACCCCAAACCCCCAAACCCCAAACCTTAATCCCCAGACCCTAAACCCCCAACCCTAAACCCTAAACCCTAAACCCTAAATCCTAAACCCTAAACCCTAAACCCTAAACCCTAAACCCTAAACCCTAAACCCTAAACCCCAAACCCTAAACCCTAAACCCTAGGTCCCTTGTGGCGCTCCATGCCGCCCTGGCAGCGGCCCCGGTTTGTAGGAGTCAGAATGACTGCATACGTGTCTGAGGTTTAGGGTTTAGGGTTTAGCGTTTAGGGTTTAGGGTTTAGGGTTTAGGTATGGGGATTGATCTAAATGATGGTCACTTTGATACCCTAAACCCGAAGGAACCCCAAAGCATCCGTTTTTGGCTTAGGGTTTAGGGCTAACGCAAAAACCCAAAAACCCAAAACCCTAAAACCCTAAAACCCTAAAACCCTAAAACCCTAAAACCCTAAAACCCTAAAACCCTAAAACCCTAAAACCCTAAAACCCTAAAACCCTAAAGCCCTAAAACCCTAAACCCTAAGCCCTTGTGGAAACCCTAAACCCTCAACCCTCAACCCTAAACCCTAAACCCTAAACCCTAAACCCTAAACCCTAAACCCTAAACCCTAAACCCTAAACCCTTAGTATAGCTTGAAGCCGCGAGTTAGGTCCTCCATGCGTCGGCGACGATTATCCAAAGCGAGCTGAACGGCCCCTTGCCTTCTCTCTGTTTCATGGGGGGTTCAGGGTTTAGGGTTTAGGGTTTAGGGGTTTAGGGTTTAGGGTTTAGGGTTTAGGGTATAGGTTTAAGGGTTTGCGGGTTTAGGGGTCTTTTGTTTTGGCATGGTAGGGGGCCGGTGAGGGGTTTTGCCTAGGGGGGCTTACAATTCGTAGAGTTTAGGGTTTAGGGGTTTAGAGTTCTTGTTTATGGGGCTTAGTGGCTTGGGCCAGTTGTGTCGGTTAGGGTATTCGGGTTTAGGGCTTTGGGAGTTCGGGGTGTGGGGTTGCGGGTTGAGGGTTTGGAGCTCGGGCTTTAGGGGTTCAGTGTTGAGGGTTTCGGGGGTTTCGGGGGTTTCGGGGGTTTCGGGGGTTTCGGGGGTTTCGGGGGTTTCGGGGGTTTCGGGGGTTTCGGGGGTTTCGGGTGTTTCGGGGGTTTCGGGGTTTACGTGATTTAGAGGGCTTGGTCTTCGGGATTGGGAGTTCAGGGTTTCAGGGTTCAGCCCTAACCCCTAAACCCCTAAACCCCTAAACCCCTAAACCCCTAAACCCCTAAACCCCTAAACCCCTAAACCCCTAAACCCCTAAACCCCTAAACCTAAACCCCTAAACCCCTAAACCCCTAAACCCCTAAACCCCTAAACCCCTAAACCCCTAAACCCCTAAACCCCTAAACCCCTAAACCCTAAACCCTAAACCCTAAACCCTAAACCCTAAACGCTAAACCCTAAACCCTAAACCCTAAACCCTAAACCCTAAACCCTAAACCCTAACCTGGGGGTCTGTACCCGCAGACCTGCGCCGAGGAACCTCGCTCTCGCCAGCTCGTTCCTTCCGAGAGCGTGCCAGCCTCCTGGAGGCCCCTCAACCAACGATGAACTGTGAAACCCTAAACCCTAAACCCTAAACCCTAAACCCAAAATCCTCGTTTTGTCGGTCAGGACAAAATAAGCTCCCACGAAGCCGGGAAGTCCTCCAAGTTCAAATGTTCAGACCGAGAGAGCCCCCCCAAAGGCTTTTTAGGGTTTAGGGGGTTTAGGGGGTTTAGGGTTTTAGGGTTTAGGGTTTAGGGTTTAGGGTTTAGGGGTTTTCGGGTTTAGGGGTTTAGGGGTTTAGCAAAGTTTAGGGTTTTGACCCTACAGGCCCTAAAGCCCCAACCCTCACCCCCCCCCCCCCCCCCCTGCCTACCGGTTTAAGGTTGTAGGCTGAGAACTAAGTAGAAGATGTTTAGAGACGTTGAGCAGGTCTTTGGCTTGAGGGTTTTTTGCGCATCTGAACTTCTAAGCCCTAAACCCCAAACCCCAAACCCCAAACCCCAAACCCCAAACCCCAAACCCCAAACCCTAAACCCTAAACCCTAAACCCCAAACCCCAAACCCTAAACCCTATGACATCGGAACCTCCAACTTGGACCCCGAAATTTTAAGCTCCCAACCCCTAAACCCTAAAACCTAAACCCTAAACCCTAAACCCTAATCCCCAAACCCGAAACCCTAAACCTAAACCCCAAACCCTAAACCCTAAACTCCCTCAACTCCCCAAACCCCCTAAGCCCGAGAAGGTAAACCTTAAACCCTAAACCCTATGCTACATTCATTCTGCTTGGCCCTAAGCTCAGAGCCCTTGAGAAAAGTCTTGCCATGAGGCTAAGCACCAAATTTCTGAGCACCGAAATCCTCTCAAACCAATAAGTGGTTTAGGGTTTCGGGTTTAGGCTCTAAACCCTTAAGCCACAAGCCCCTAAACACCCTGTTACCCCAGGGGTGCGCTGCTGTCCGTTCCCATCCCATGGCTGCGTAGCAGTTTGAATCATGAACATGGTGGATCATGGTCGCATTTTCAGTCTCAGTATGCATGACAGCAGTGGAGCAACAAGAGTGATAGAAATTGGGACGATGCGAAGGGCACTTAATCATGGTGAAGCTGGATGCAACGGTTTTTTGTCTAGAGCAGCTCAGCAACCCCCCCCCCCCCCCCCTCCCCCGCTAGCAATGCTGATGGAGAGTGGCCGCCCCATCCCCACACCCGCTCGCGGCATCAGCTTGCTGAGCTGTGTATCTCGGTGCTGTGCGTACGGAGCTTCTTTTTTGACCAATTGCTGTATCTGAAATCGAAGCCCACCTGAATCCACTGAAAACATTCGCTCGCTGAGATACCCCAAAGCAGGCCTGGGAATAAGCACCGGCTTGCACGTTCGCTGCGTTGTCATGGGAGACCTCACAAACTCTTTAGAGCTGCTGCCAAAAAAGGCCCTAAACCCTAAACCCTAATAAGCCCCAAACCTCAAACCTCAAACCTCAAACCCTAAACCCTAAGCCCTAAGCCCTAAACCCTAAACCGTAAACCCCAAACCCCAAACCCTAAACTCTAAACCCTAAACCCTAAACCCTAAACCCTAAACCCGAAACCCAATGCAAGCCCAGCACGTCCAGGTGGCTCCAGCACATCTCCAAGCCGCCCACTCCTTGCTGCAACGCCTACCTGAGCAGTTGAAGCAAGAGGCGGTCACAGTTTTGTCGCAACGACTGACTCCCGAAATCCAGGCCCGGTGTTGTTCCTGGCTTCTCTGAAAGATCCCTAAACGCTAAACCCTAGACCCTAAACCCTAAACCCTAAACCCTAAACTCTAAACCCTAAACTCTAAACCCTAAACCCTAAACCCTAAACATCCGAAGCCTTTTCAAAAGCCTCTTCTGTGCTGCCCCCGGTAGGCTTGGATTGAGCAGTACGAGCACGCACTCGATGATTCCTTGGAGCCAGAGGAGCCACTCTCCGAGGACGAGTGGGAGGACGAGGGTGACGAGGGCGAGGAGGGCGACGAGGAGAAGGATCAGACGTCGAAGCGGCGGCGTAAGGCGCCACCCGTGCCTGATGATGGGTATCCCAGCCTGTGGGCAGGGATCAGCCAGGGCAGTAGAGGCTTCAATGCAGAGGCCAGGCGTGTGTTGAGCGCCTTGCTGCCCGGCGGAGAGCATGCATGGTGCTCACCGACTCAAGGCCGGATCAAGCTGCTGTTGCAGCAGGAGGTTGTTGCATTGCTTGTGCATCCCAAATCTCCGGTTTCCCGTCTCCTGTGCGATCACAACACTGGCTCTGGCAAGACACTCTGCATGATCCGCATCGTTGACAACTTCTTTTTCGATGGCCGTGCAAAGATCGCCATCTTTCCCAAGGACAGTGTAGTTGACAATTTTTACACCTCACTGTGGGAGTGGCCATCGCGCTGGCGCGACTTCTGCAGCCACTGCAATCCTGAGGTGGCGAAGCTCGCATGCAACAGCGCTGATTGGCGTGCCAGGCGTGATGTTCGTTGGGCTTTAGACGCGTCAGATGAGCTGAGGGCATTTGCGCGCAAGGAAGGCTTGAGCATGCAGCAGGCAATCAAGCAGAAACTGATCAAGACCATGCGGGACTGCTTGGAGATGAAGCGTGCTTTTTACAAAGGGAAGGTGCGAAAGAGCTACCTTCAGAAGCAGCTTGGTTCCTTGTTGTGAAGACCTGTCGATGCCAATGCTTGCGTGCAAACCCGAGTGGGATTTAGCGGGCTGTGATGGTAGTTCATTGTAGCTGCAGCCCAGGTACTGGGCAGAAGCCACTGAGGACGTACATCCTCCCACCGCACCGCTGAGAGCCTATCGCTTCACCTCCGCTGGTGGGCGGGCGGCAGAGGTGGTCGATGGCGTGCCCAGGGGTTGCATCTTCAAGGTCGGATTTGATGGCGAGAACCCCTACAGTGGAAAAGTGGTGCTGATGGATGAGGGCCACCACCTCACTCGCCCCAACAAGGTCTACAAGTCTCAGCTGCAAAGCCTTCGCGGGTACGTCGAGTCGGCTCGCAATTCCGTCTTCGTGAGCTGCACGGGATCCATGGAGGCTGATTCCAGTGCTGACCCGCGGGCTTTGCTGGATGCGGTGAAGGGCAATGAGAACAAAGCGTTGAGCGATGAAGGCTTCTTGTCATCGCACCACAAGCGCGGCCTGGGCTTTCCGCGGCAGAGGCCCGCAGCATGCGCCGACGGGGCTTTTTCGGAGGAGCTCGATGGGCTCTTGCAGCGGAAGGAGCTCTCGAGCCATTCCCTCACGCGCTACTTGTATCAAGCGATCAGGTTGCAGAAGGAGGAGAAGCCAGAGGAGACCCTGGCCAATTACACAAACATTCATGTCTATGCCGGCTCTGCAGGTCAGCCAGCTTGCAAGGCTCAGATCATGAGGTATCCGAACTGCCGGCCGAAGTTCACATTGGCGGTTGCAGAGGTCATTGCTGCTGCAAAGCAGAGGCAGAAGAGTGTGGTCATGGTCAGCAAACGCACCGGCTACAAAGCTATGCTCTGGTTGCTGGAGGCTGCAGCGGAGAAGCACGGCTTTCACGTCGCGGAGTATGACCAACTGGCGGATTTCAACAGCACAGACAACAAGTATGGGAAGAACTTCATGGTTCTGCTTCTCACAACTGAGCACGGAGGGGAAAGCATACAAGCGTTCTGTGTACGAGTGATGCTTCTGCTGGATGTGCCTGGGCTGCGGTTAGTCAAGACTCAAACTGAAATCCCAACACGGCCACATGTAAGTACCAAACAAAGCATCAATGGGGCTGCGACAAGCAGATGGGTAACCACCGTCGTCATCATGAACATCATCAGCCAACCCTCAGCCCTCAACCCTCAGCCCTCAGCCCTCAACCCTCAACCCTCAACCCTAAACCCTAAACCCTAGACCCCAAACCGCCCAATCCCGAAGACCTACGCCCTCCATCCCCCTAGTTAGTACCAGGAGATTCCTGGCTGTGCCGAGCAGAATTTTGGGGATCCTCACCCGAATCAGCGGATAAAAGCTGCGGTCCAAGGTGCCCACCCGCTATGCCGACCTGAAGCAGCGCTGCGGGCGTGTGGTGCGCTGCCGAAGCCATGACGACTTGCCGGAGGCGCAAGCTCACGAATGACCCTAAACCCTAAACCCTGAACCCTAAACCCTAAACCCTAAACTCGAAACCCTAAACCCCAAGCCCTAAACCCTAAACCCTAAACCCTCAAACCCCTAAGCCCTAAACCCCTGGAACCAGACTCACCCGCAGACCTAAATGGATGTGCTCGGCAGGCGGACCGGGACGTGCGATTCGTCTTCTTTGTAGCGGAGATGCCGGACTATGGCCAGCATGCCCCTCGCCGTATTGGAGTTTAGGGTTTCTAGGGTTTAGGGCTTAGGGTTTAGGGTTTAGGGGTACCTCATTGGGGTCCTTATAAAAACTTTAGGGTTTAGGGTTTAGGGGTACCTCGTTGGGGTCCTTATAAGAACAGGAATCCTACTACTTGGGGTCTACATTAAGGGTCCCTTGTTTTCGTAAACCTTCTGCTGCGAGTCTGTTTTTCTCAAGCCGCACGTGGGGTGACACGGGGACGTCACCAAACTTGCTGGTAAACAGGTTGCCTTAGATAACACAAGGGCCTCTGACCTAGGCATTCAAAGCAGATGTTCCTCCCATGTCGGTCCATCAGCTACTTAAGCCCTCGAAGCCCGCTAAGCCCTTGAAGCCTTTGAAGCCCTCTAAGCCATGACCCCAAGAAACGGGTAGGAAGTTGTGATGTTTCGTACGTTCCCTCGTTTGGGTTTAAGAAGCTCGTATGTAGGAGTGTTGTTCAACCAGACTAGTTTATTGGGATGTTTCCCCCCTCTACGAATTAAGGACTGCTAGTATAAGGGGGGACATCCCAAGTTACCCTAACACCTAAACCCTAAAAAAGCCTACCCTAGTATTCTTGAACCAGACTAACCCTAAACCCTAAACCCTATATAAACCCTAAACCCCTAAACCCTAAACCCTAAACCCTCGGTACTGCAAAACGGTCTGTCATCAGGAACTGGGAGCATTTGCACTTTGGGCCCTCTGTGGTTACTGGAACGGCCCAAAGAAGGTCAACTACTCGACCGAGCCTGATCCCGAGGACCCGGGGTTCGCGGTTTAGGGTTTAGGTTTCGGGGTTTGGGGTTTAGGTTTTAGGGTTTAAAGTTAGGGTTTAGGGTTTAGGGTTTAGGGACATGGTGACTATGTGTTTTTAGCGGAAGCTGTATGTTTTCACCACGGTTCCACGGTTGCTGGAGCTGCTCTGAAAGAATGTCGCAATCGCTGGACCTCGTATTCACACCCGCACTCAAACCCCCAAACCCTCAACCCTTAACCCCAAACCCTCCGGATTTTCCCCCTTTACTAACAGTCCTTCATAGGGGCGATAATAGGGACTACTAGAATCCCTACCAAGGAGCTGTTAGTATAAGGGGGAACGTCCCAACCAAACTCCCCTAAACCCCAAGCCCTAAACCCCAAACTCTAAACCCTAAACCCCAAACCCCCTCAACCCGAGGAGATTGCGGAGATCAGCCAGGCCTTCGTCCAGAGCGTGACTGAGAGGCGCCTTCAGAGCCTGGGAGACCCTAAACCCTAAACCCTAAACCCTAAACCCTAAACCCTAAACCCTAAACCCTAAACCCTAAACCCTAAACCCTAAACCCCAGGCGCCTTCAGAGCATGGGAGACTTGACCCGGTCACTTCCTCGCATTGGCATCTCCAGGCAGCACTCGACAAAGTCTCTGGGTGCTCGAACTTGCTTTGTCATCACTTGGGATGGTCCCCCTTATGCCAGCAGCCCTTAATAGGGGAATTGTAGTAGGGGGTACTATACTCCCTATTAAGGGCTGTTAGTATACGGGGTAGCATCCCAAGTCATCATCTTTCTATCGTGACATAGTATTTATTGCTAGCTTACCTGCTTACTATATGCCTTTCTTGTTGCGCCATTATGAGTTTCACTGCTTTTCATACCAGTAGACAGGTGGGTATATGCTCATGGGTGGAGGTGGTAGTTCTACATATCATAGCGTGCCCCGCTCCGGGAAGGCTCATGGACGAGGTCGCCGATCCTTCCGAGTACCCCAAGTCGTATCGCAGGCTGCAGGCTGGACTACAGCAGCTGCTGGATAGCCCGGGAGCCATTGCAGAAGTGGCGGAGATGCTACCCACCACCACCTATGATGAACAGAAAGTCGAGGAGCCTTAGGGATACCTGGGAGTAATTTTTACTTTTTGGGCATGATATAAAGCCTAAGACACAGCAAAACTCATAATTTTTTCTAGGTTTCCCAACTTCAGTTAAGGATCTCGTGCAGCAGATAGCGGAGATGGCGCCCGCATTAGACCGAGTTCGCTGTGCCGCCATTGATGCGGGGTTCTATTGATATGGGGCTATCATGAGGAAAGTGGAGACAGCTATGCCGTCTTATCAAGAGCACCGTCTCCTCACTAAGCCCTATATATGAACCTGAACCTTAAGCCCTCAGCCCTGATCCCCATCCCTAAACCCTAACCCTTACATCCTGATCCCAATATCCAAAACCCTGTAGGCTCTAAACCCTGGTGCGATTGGAGGGGCCTGCAAACGTGGCATTGCGAGGGGCGCTTGCCACGGGGAGTCAGGTAGAACCTTCCTTAGCAATGTGAGACGCTCAGAGAGGCGAAAGAGAGAAAAGGAGGAGCCAGAACTGCCGTTTCGGGTTTAGGGTTTAGGGTTAGGGGCTCCGAACGACTCCTTCCCCTTATGACCCTTAGACAATTCGGTGACCTTATTCAGGAGCCGACTACTCCTTCCCCTAAGAGCCATACAAGATGCTCCAAGTCACGGACGCGTCCCTGCCTCAAGTTTTACCTGTTGGCGAGTCCCCTAAACCCTAAACCCTAAACCCTAAACCCTAAACTCTAAACCCTAAACTCTGAACCCTAAACCCTAAACCCTAAACCCTAAACCCTAAACCCTAAACCCTAAACCCTAAACCCTAAACCCTAAACCCTAAACCCTAAACCCTAAACCCTAAGTGCAGCAGGCGCCATCTGGCGCCACCGCTGCCTCAGCTGCCGTAGAGCCCGGGAGCTCCAGTCCACAGAAGCAGCTTTGGTTTTTTGTTTCCGGTTTGGGGTTTAGGGTTTAGGCTTTAGGGTTTCGCGGCAAGCTGTTTAGGGGTTTCGGGGGTTTCTGGTTCGGCGTTTTGGGGTGTTGGTATTCAGGCGGCAACGCCGAGTGAGAGTGGAAGGGTACCCCACAACCCAGCGGAGCGACAGAGACGGTGCCTTCATAAACCCTAAACCCTAAATTAAAGAGTAACCCTAAGCCCTAAACCCTAAACCCTTAAACCCTAAACCCTACACCCTACACCCTACACCCTACACCCTGTACCCTGAACCCTAGCCCCTAAACCCTAAATCCCTAACCTAGACAGTCACGCCCAAAACTACAAAGTCACCATGTGCCGTGAACAGTGACGTGCCGGCATTTAGGTAACCCAGCCTCCAGGCCCGGGATTCTGAGTTTACGGTTTAGGGTTGAGAGTTTTATATGGTTCAGGGGACACTACCAGGTACGTAATTACGATGGCGGAATACCCAGAAACTGGAGCCCATGGTGACCCTAAACCCTAAACCCTAAACCCTAAACCCTAAACTCTAAACCCTAAACCCTAAACCCGGAACCCTAAACCCTAAACCCTAAACCCTAAACCCAAAACCCTAAACCCTAAACCTTAAGGGAGGCCCCCTCCCTGCCGAGATCCCGTGGCCTCGGCGTCTTCTTCGCTGGCGTCACATTTGGGGTTCGGGCCCCAGGTTCGATTGAGGGCACTTTTTTTTTTTTTTTTTTTTCGGGGGGGGGGGGGGGGGGGGGGGGGGGGGGGGGGGTTAGGGTTTAGGGTTTAGGGTTTAGGGTCTGGGGTCTAGAGTCTAGGGTTTAGGGTCAGGGTTTTGTAGGGGTTTGTTCTTTCCTCTTGAATTTCCTTGTTGTTGCGTAGCTCCGTGCCAACATCCAGGGCGCCGCAGCCCCTAACCCATAGCCTCCAAGATAGGGTTTCATTCGGGTTATTTAGGGTTTTTGCGGCAGGCCCTTCTTGCTTTATTTCAGGGTTTAGGTTCCCTTATAAGCCTCTTGCAACCAGAAAGGGCAGCCTTTTTTTTTTCCTAGGTTACTCTTGGGTCACCCTAAACCCTAAACCCTAAACCCTAAACCCTAAACCCCAAACCCCAAACCCCAAACCCCAAACCCCAAACCCCAAACCCCAAACCCCAAACCCTAAACCCTAAACCCTAAACCCTAAACCCCTTTTATTCCTAGCTTGCTGTTCCGTCTAGCAGTGTAGCAAAGGTTCTGAGCTGCGCCATCGTCTTTGCCTTCCTGGTCGGCTGCCAGGCCGGCCTTGGGTGTTGGGGGGCCTTTCAGGGTTTAGGGTTTAGGGTTTAGGGTTTAGGGTTTAGGGTTTAGGGTTTAGGGTTTAGGGTTTAGGGTTTAGGGGGTGTATGCGTAGGGTTTAGGAGTGGGTTTAGAGCTCAGGGCTTCTACGGTTCTTAGGGTAGCAGGCTTTGTGTTTGGGTTCTAGGAAGGGCGCTGTTGGGAGGCTTGAGGCTGCTTAGGGTTTAGGGTTTAGGGTTTAGGGTTTGGGGTTTAGGGTTTAGGGTTTAGGGTTTAGGGTTTAGGGTGTAGGGTTTAGGGTTTAGGGTTTAGGGTTTAGGGTTTAGGGTTTAGGGTTTAGAGGGAGCCTTCTGAGGTTTGGAGGTTTGTAAGAAACATGGCTTTGGATCTAAGCCCTGAGCCCCATAACTCAATGCCCTGGCCACCCCTAAACCGACCCCAAGCCCGAAACCCGTAGGACCCCCAGACCCCATGAAATCCTAAACCCGAAGCCCTAAACCCTAAACCCTAAACCCTAAACCCTAAACCCTACACCCTAAACCCTAAATCCTAAACCCGAAACCCTAAACCCTGAACCCTAAACCCATAAACTCCAACCTCAAAATTCCGAGTTGAACAGGTCCTCCGGGTGGTTGAGCCCCAAGGCGCTTCAGCGGATTCGTGCCAGGCGCCATGGCCGGCAAGCTGTGATGGGTTTAGGGTTTAGGGTTTAGGGTTTAGGGTTTAGGGTTTAGGGTTCAGGGTTTAGGGTCTAGGATTTAGGGGTTAGGGCTTAGGGGTTAGGGTTTAGGGTTTAGGGTTAAGGCTTAGAGGTTCAGAGGGCTCGACCCACGGACTCCAACAAACCTCAAAACTCAAGACTCAAAACAAGAACCTTGAGTCCTCCAAATCATCGTTTTTTTTTGTTGGGGGGGGGGGTGGGGGTATCCGATATCCTGTATGTTCGACATCTTGATACACCCAAAAAGGGACCAACTGCCTTGCGACGAATCCCAAAGCTGACAAACCGAACCTAAACTCATGCCCTAAACCCTACACCCCTAAACCCCTAAACCCCTAAACCCCTAAACCCCTAAACCGCCTAACCCCTAAACCCCAAAGCCTTCAACCCTCACACCAGGCTCAAGCAACCGAAGGCACCAAAGCCCCCAAAACCCGGTAGCCCTACTAAGGACCCAGACTAGGCCGTTCTTCCCCCTGTATTTAGGGTTGAGGGTGTAGGGTTTAGGGTTTAGGGTTTAGGGTTTAAGGTTGGAGCTAGGAACCAGAGTAGGGTCTAGGCTCTTCATAAACCCCTTTCAACCAAAAAGGGCACACGTTTATTCCTAGGTTAAATGCTCTTAGCTCTAGACTACGCTTTTTTCCAGGGGCCCTGAGCCCCCAAACCCCAAACCCCAAACCCCAAACCCCAAACCCCAAACCCCAAACCCCAAACCCCAAACCCCAAACCCCAAACCCCAAACCCCAAACCCCAAACCCCAAACCCCAAACCCCAAACCCCAACCCCCAACCCCAAACCCCAACCCCAAACCCCAAACCCCAAACCCCAAACCCCAAACCCCAAACCCCAAACCCCAAACCCCAAACCCCAAACCCCAAACCCCAAACCCCAAACCCCAAACCCCAAACCCCAAACCCTAAACCCTAAACCTTAAACCCTAAACCCTAAATCCTAAACCCTAAACTCTCCTGGGCCATGTAGCTTCCCCACAGGCGCCAGCTCTTGACGCCCACATCGCCTGCGAGACGCCCCAGGCCTCTCTCCTCGACTCAGCATTAGGGATATGGGGGTTTCCGAAACTACGGGATAGGTTTAGGGTTTAGGGTTTAGGGTTTAGGGTTTAGGGTTTAGGGTTTAGGGTTTAGGGTTTAGGGTTTAGGGTTTAGGGTTTAGGGTTTAGGGTTTAGGGGGTTTCCGAAACTGGGGTAAGGGGATTAGGTTTTTATTTGAGGTATACAACGGGTACCCCTTTTTTGGGAAATGCCCATATGATTAGAGGGTTCGAGGGCAGTTTTGGGGTTTTCACAAGTGGTGAGGAGGCATTGGGAGGGGATTAGAGGCTACACCTACGGCCCAACGGATCTTCTGCGGTTGCAGGACTAGTGGCTTCTCTGTGCCTATATTGGCCTAAACCCTAAACCCTAAACCCCAAACCCAAACCCTAAACCCTAAACACCCTAGACAGTCCCGGAGGTTGAGTCACTGCACCTCTTCTGGCCTCGCTTTCGCTGGCTGGCGGCGATGATGATCTTCCAGTCCCTTGGCCTACATGGTTTTAGGGTTCAGGGTTTAGGGTTTAGAGTTCTCACAATTATGGTCCCTTTTTGGGGTACCCCATAGATTCGGTGCCGCCTCAGAATGGGAACCCCAAAAGGGACCATACTTGCAATACTCTTCACCGAACCTGGTCGTGCTTATATTCTAAAAAAGCGCTGCGCACGTTTCTTAGGTTCTGCGCACTACTAGGCATGATCGCGTTTCTTAAGAAAAACCGCCGGATTTCTATGTTTTTCTTCTTTGGTCACGTTTTCATGGCGAAAAAACTCAGAAACCCGACTAGGCTCGTGAAACCTGACGGGAACTGGCGTGGGAAAAGCCAAGTGTTTAGACATGTTGGTGGTGCTTTTCGCACGTTTCTCGGAATCGCGTTTCTTGGATTTCTTGCGCAAAAAGAGCGGCTATTTTGGCAGAGTGAGCACAAGGGAAAATCAGCAATTCCGACACAATACTTACAGAAACTGCGAGAAACGGCGTTACCTATGAAGCGTTTGTGATGTCGCATTATATATATATATCTCTATATGCATGTATATTTTGTTTATTTGTTTTGTTTTTTGTTTTATTACTGTTTTTTGCCGCGGGGGAGGGGGGGGTGTCTTCAGGAGTGCTTGTGATGCTGAGCTATTTTGATTTTTATTTGTTTGTGTTTTTTAGTTTTTCGGGGGGGGGGGGAAGGGAAGGTACTTTTCCTTGAGCCATGGTAGAGACCTTGCAAGTCCTATCAAGGCATCTGCCTCAGCAAGGGGAGGTGAAACGAAAGGGCCAGACTCTCCGGCTTCCTTTTCCTCTGGGATCAGAAAGCCTTCCTTGGGGACCACATGAGCCCTAACCCCTAAACCCTAAACCCTAAACCCCAAACCCCAAACCCCAAACCCCAAGCCCCAAAACCTTTATTAGGGACCAAGCGGTGCGGGGTCCATGAGCCAATTTTTGGGGATACAGTTGCCGAACAGGAACCCAGTCTGCTCGTCAGTCTGCGCGCCTGGACTCCTCTTGCATCTTGCAGGAGCGTGGCCAGCTTTATCCTCGCCCACTTCCAACACCTCGTGGAGAGGCCGTGGCGTTGGGATGTTGAGGTCTTCTGAGGGCGGAGAAGGATGCTTCAGGTTTGGGGTTTAGGGGGTTTAGGTGGGTTCCCTTGTTGAGGCTTTAAGCTATAGGCCCTTGCATGTAAACTAGGAAGCTTCGGAAGCTTGGAGAGGTTGCGGAGTCATGATGTCACGCCGCGTGTCGGGCTTCAGTGTGAGAGGGGGCACCATTGATGCAAGTTGCAAGTCCAGAGGCCAGCCGCTGTAGTGGCTGGTTTATGGCTCGGTAGGCCCTTGGGGCCTTTCCTTTTTTCCCTTGTTGGGTTGAAAAAGGATCATCAGAGGGCTTTAAGGGCCACCGCTGCGGACGGGCAGGGTGCCGGGGTACCTTCGTGATGCTTCAGTGATCCGGCCGGTCAAACTTGGCGCTGTAACAAGAACGACCCACTAGTCGGATAGTTGTCGGGAGAGACGCGGATCCTCACCCATGCCGCAAGCGTGCTTTTTGAGAGGCCTATTTGCCTGAAGCAGGATCCTAATTTGAAACGCTGGCCTCAAACACAGACCCTAGGCCCTAGACCCCAACCGAAACCAAACCCCTAGTGAACTGCAGTCATGCCGACCTGATCATCTTCCTGACTATGCTCGTGGGCTTGGGAGGCAACTGGCACGTGTTTAGCGGTTTAGGGTTTAGGGTTGAGGGTTTAGGGTTTAGGGTTTAGGGATTAATCATGTGGTGTTTATGGGTCACGGGTTAGGGTTCTGAGTTGTTTTGAAGGTTTAGAGATAAGGCTTCGAAATTGAGGGTGTAAGGCATTGTGGATAAGGGTTCCGAGCTTCGGGTTGAAGGCTTTAGGGATTGTAATTGTTTTGGGGTAGCCCTAAACCCTAAACCCTAAACCCGAAGCCCTAAACCTTGAACCGCTTGGTGGGTTTAGGGTTACGGTTTAGGGTTTTTTTTCCACCTTAGGGTCGGTCTTCGCCAGTCCAGCAGGGGTTTAGGGTTTAGGGTTTAGGGTTTAGGGTTTAGGGTTTAGGGTTTAGGGTTTAGGGTTTACAGTTGTCGAAGCTCTTGAGACCTTGTCCTCCCAATCATACACTCCAAGTGGGCACAAATGCGGCGGTTGCGGTCCCAGTTGTTGGCCCTCATTCGTCTGAATCGATTAATCCATTACGGAAAGGTTACTCCTGCAAGAAGACCCACCTGCATACACCCCATGTGGCCTTTGAAGTGCCAAGTCCTAAAATCCTAACCTGGAGGCCCGACACTCTTAAACCCTAAACCCGAAACACAAAGCTTAAACCCTAAACCCTAAACCCTAAACCCTAAACCCTAAACCCTAAACCCTAAACCCTAAACCCTAAACCCTAAACCCTAAACCCTAAACCCTAAACCCTAAACCCTAAACCCTAAACCCTAAACCCTAAACCCTAAACCCCCGAAACCCCGGAGGCAACGCTGGAGGTCAGAGCGTCGTTCTCACATGCCGAAAGCTGGCGCTGGGTGAGGACGTGGCCATCAGGCCGGCCCAAACGCTAAATCCCCCCCTCAACCCTAAACCCTAAACCCCAAACCCTAAACCCTAAACCCTAAACCCTAAACCCTAAACCCTAAACCCTAAACAAGGCAGGCTAGGACTGCCGTGTGCGTGAGCTGCCCTGTGTGCACCAAATCTTCGGTTCCAAAAGGTGCAGAATCTCACACACTCGAAGCCAAACAGCGGGAGACAGGTTTAGGGTTTAGGGTTTAGGGTTTAGGGTTTAGCGTTTAGGGTTTAGGGTTTAGGGTCCAGTCGGCCGGAAGTCCTGGACCCTAAGCCCTAAGCTTTGGGCCGTCAATCTCCAGGTCGCAGAAGCGCCTCCGAAAACTCAGAGAACCCCGGAACACTCAACCCCAAACCCTGAACCTTGAACCCTAAACCCTAAACCCTAAACCCTAAACCCTAAACCCTAAACTCCACAGGAGCCAGCTGGCGATGGGGCTGCTACTGGGCCTTACCCTGGCGCCGCTGGCCTTCGCGCGCGCCATGGCTGTGAAAGCAGCCCGGGGCCCCAGGTGGATTGGGATGTGGGGTTTAGGGTTTAGGGTTTAGGGTTTAGGGTTTAGGGTTTAGGGTTTAGGGTTTAGGGTTCAGGGTTTAGGGTGTAGGGTTCAGGGTTTATAGGAGATGGAAGGCTTGAGGGGTTGGGCTTAGGGTTCAGGAGTATGGGGTTTATGGGGCTTAACGGCTAACGGTTTGTTGTTTCACGGGTTCTACCTCGGACCCCTAAGGTTGCACCCTTGGGATTGGGCCGATCTCAAGATCCTCTAAGGGACTGTAAGGGCCATATTCGCAATAAGTCAAGGAACCTCTGAGGGCCATAATCCTACATGGTCCGAGGATGGCTCCCTTGATTGTTGGGCTTACCCTTACCCCTAACCCCTAACCCCTAACTCCGAACCCCTAAACCCCAAACCCCAAACCCCAAACCCTAAACCCTAAACCCTAAACCCTAAACCGCATTAGGGCGAAGGTCTGAAGCCAAAGGTTTCCACGGAGTCCCTCTCGTGTCTGCTGATATGACTGGGGATGTTCCCCCTTGTACTAGCAGTCATTAATGGGGATTCTCATGGGGGGCCTGTAAGTAGACGGGAGAACATCCCAAGATATGACAACTAATCTCTTGGGTTTAAGGTGGGTATAGCGTTGTGGGGAGGGGGGAGGTTAGGAGTCTAGGGAGTTTAGCCGAAACCCAAGGCCTAAGCCCCACGCTCTACGCTCTGACCCCCCGTAAGCCTTAAGCCCTAAGAGCCCTACGAGCCCTAAGAGCCCTAAGAGCCCGAAGAGCCCTAAGAGCCCTCAGAGCCCTAAGAGCCCTAAGAGCCCCAAGGGCCCTCTAAGCCCCCTAAGACCCCTAAGCCCCCTAAGCCTCCTAAGCCTCCTAAGCCCCCTAAGCCCCCTAAGCCCCTAAGCCCCCTAAGCCCCCCCTAAGCCCCCCAAGCTGCCCACGCTCCTAAGGAGTTCGGCGTTTGCCTGACTCTGGCGGGGGCCACGTTCCTCATCGCCACCTTGGCGGCCGGGATGGGCACGGTGCTGCCCAAGTTGCGGCCCGGTTTGCACCACGAAGACCCTAACATGGTTTTACGGTCTAGGGTTTAGGGTTTAGGGTTTAGGTTTAGGGTTCAGGGTTTAGGTAGTTTAGGTAGTTTAGGGTTTAGGTAGCCCAAAACCCTGAACCCGAAGCATCGAACCAATCGCAAACCACAAGCCATACACCGCCCTCGACTCAAAGCCTTTTTGCCCCCTCAATGCCAGGCTTCACAAGCTTAAGATGGATCCCGGCCAATCATCTGCCATGATTCAGGCCGGACAGGGGGGTTTTGAGGGTTTAGGGGTTTGGGGGTTTGAATTTAAATTACAAGGTTTGGGGTTTAGGGGTTTAGGGGTTTAGGGGTTTAGGGGTTTAGGGGTTTAGGGGTTTAGGGGTTTAGGGGTTTAGGGGTTTAGGGGTTTAGGGGTTTAGGGGTTTAGGGGTTTAGGGGTTTAGGGGTTTAGGGGTTTAGGGTTTAGGGGTTTGGGGCAGGCCAGACAACTCTGCGGGACTTGAATTCAAGGTTTAGGGCCTAGGGCTTTGTGTTGGTTTGTTTTGTTTCTTGGGGTCTGTGTCTAGGGTTTGAGGAAATGGTGCTAGGGTGTGCTATTTTACCCCTAAACCCCAAACCCCCTGAAACCCTAATCCCTAGGTTTCAATCCCCGGAAGCCCGGGAACCCCAAACCCCTTAGACTCTAAACCCCAAACCCCTAAACCCTAGACCCCTAAACCCCCTAAACCCCTAAGCCAAAACCCCTTTAAGCCCCAAACCCCTAAACCCCCTAACCCCAAAACCCCTCCCCTAAACCCCCTAACCCCAAAACCCCTCCCGCCCCCCCCCCCCCCCCCCCCCCCCCCCCCCCCCCCCCCCCACCCACCCCCCCCCCCCCCACCCGCCCCCTGAACCCTCAACCCTTAACCCTCAACCCTAGACCCTAAACCCCAAACCCTAAACCCTGAACCCCAAACCCTAAACCCTAAACCCTAAAACCCTAAACCCCAAACCCCCTCCCCTTTCCGAGGTCATCATGGACATCACGGGCATCATGATCACCTGCCTACTGGGTGCCGCCATCCTCCGCTAGCTCCACGGGATGAACGGCAGCCGCACGCGCTTCGTAGCCTAGAGCCCTTTTGGGCGAGTAGCCCTAAACCCTTAACCCTAAACCCTAAACCCTAAACCCTAAACCCTAAACCCTAAACCCTAAACCCTAAACACCAAACCCCAAACCCCAAACCCTAAACCCTAAAAAGCCTGAAGCTCTCGTTCATCCTCGCTGAGTGAAGAAGTCGGGACAGGCACCGCTCACCGCGGAGAACAGAGCTGGCCTTGGGGGTTTAGGATGCTGGGGTTAGGCTTTAGGGTTTAGGGTTCAGGGTTTAGGGTTTTAGGGTTCAGCATCTCAAGTCCAAGCATTCGCTAGTCAGGCAATTTATCAATGGTTGGATAAATGCCGACCCGCCCAGACCCTGGGCCTAGCTCTAGGGTCGAGGGTTTAGGGTTTAGGGTTTAGGGTTCAGGGTTCAGGGTCTAGGGTTTACGGTTTAGCTTCGGTTCTTGGGGAACCTGGTAACGGCCAGCCGTGGAAGGCTCATAAAAAGGGGAGGGTGACCTAAGTTATGGTCGCTGAACCCTGTGCCCTGTACCCTAAACCAGGGTTTGTGTACTTCTTCTGCTTTTTCTTCTTCTTCTTCTTCTTGTTTTTAGTCTGCTCTTGTTATTTCGGTCCCTAAATCAAACCTATAAACCCTAACCAACCCCCTGATCAGTGGCTTAGGGACGATAAGGGCTTGCAGAAGCTTGCGGGTTCAGGGTGTAGGGTTCAGGGTTTAGGATTAGGGTTCAGGGCCCAAAACCCGAACCCTGAAACTTCAGGACGACAGCTGCGGCCTTTAAAGAGCACAAGCCAGACAATGCCCCCGGAACCCTGAATCCAAAACCCTGTGCAGCTCCGAACCCGAAAGCCGAAACCCAACAGTAGCCGTAAACCCAGCAAGAGCCCTAGCCCCTAAACCCTAAACCCTAAACCCTAAACCCTGAACCCTGAACCCTGAACCCTGAACCCTGAACCCTGAACCCTGAACCCTGAACCTTGAACCCTGAACCCTGAACCCTGAACCCGAAACCCGAAACCCGAAACCCGAAACCCTAAACCCTAAACCCTAAACCCTAAACCCTAAACCCTAAACCCTAAACCCTAAACCCTAAACCGCACGATGCTCCTGGAGCCGGCTGCTGGGAATCGACGCCAGCGTGGGCGAAGAGCCTGGCGCGGAGGTGCCGACTTTGACTCAGGGGGTGTCTGTTTGGGTTCACTTACTGGGTTCATTAAAACCCCTGAACCCTAAACCCTAAACCTTAAACCTACACTCGAAACCCTAAACCCTAAACCCTGAGCTTAGAGTTTGGGTCCCACTTTGGGTGGCAGTGGCAGGGGGTTTCAGGGTTCAGGTTTCGCATGTTCGGGTGTTGGGGCATCAGGGGGGCTTAGAATTTGAAGAAGCCGACAGCCCAAGGCGGCCCTAAACCCTAAACTCTAACCCTAAACCCTAAACAAAAACCCTAAACCCTAAACCCTAAACCCCAAATGCACATTCGCTTCCTTCTGAAGGCCTCCTCCTCGTTGGGGCCTTGGCGGTGCCCTGGGATGCGAATTAAGCAGTGAGGGCTTTCCTAAGCCCTACACCTGAAAATTTGGATGTTCCCCCTTTCCTTAATAGGGATGATAAATGGTGGGGGGGGGGACTATAGTCCCTATTAAGGAACATCCCAACCCAAGAGCCCCAAAACCCAAAATCCTAAGCCCTTGCAGGGTTTCGGGGTTGCGTGCGTTTCTTCGAGATTTTGTTCGAGGCCCTCCACGGCCCCGAGTCCTTAGGTACGGTAGGGTCCGGTCAAGAGGAACGCGCCTTCAAGGGTTACCAGGCGGCCCGGTGAATTTTGAACTCCAACAGGTGTTTAATTGTTTTTGAGATTTTCTTGTGTGTTGTGTACGGTTTTACGTAGTGCTTCTTATAGTTGTTGCACGTAGAACTTTCTGATTCTATTCTGTTTTTTTCCCGGCTTCTTGATAGGTTGCGCCGTGAAGCTCTCGGGCTTTAGGATGTTTTGGGCCTTTAGGGTTTTAGGGTTTGAGACCCTAAACCCGAAACCTAAAACCCTACACCATGACACCCTAAACCCTACATTGGGGGGGGGGGGGGGGTGCGGCGCTTTCGCAAGTCGCTCACCCGCCTCCGACAGCTCGGAGGTCCCGAACCCCCCCCCCCCCCCCCAAGAGGAAAAGCAATGGTGGCATTGTGAGTATAGATCCAAACCCTCAGAGGAATAGGTTGGGGCGGTTTTGCCCCTTTAGACAGTGTGGGGTGGTCGGGCCATGGCTGCCTTTCGCATTGCGCGATGCCTTCAAGGCTCCTGCTGAAAACCGTCACATTTACAGCTTCTGCGCCATACTACAGCAAACCCCAGCCCCTACACCCTAAACCCCAAACCCTAACCCCTAACCCCCAAACCCTAAACCCTAAACCCTAAACCATCCCTAAACCCTAAACCCTAAACTCTAAACCCTAAACCCTAAACCCGAATTCTTAAGGTTCTAGGGGCAAGCAAGGTGTGGGTGCCCGAGCCTCGCTGCTGGCTGGAAGCGGCCGTGTGCTGAGATGCTCGTCCCGGGCTTTGGGGTTTAGGGTTTATAGAGTTTATAGGGTTTGGGGTTTAGGGTTTTGGGTTGAGGGTTTAGGGTTGAAGTAGGGGTTAGGGTTCAGGGGCTTCCGGGTCTAGGGGTTTAGGGGTTTACGGGTTGGGCGTAGGGGTGTAGGGGTTTAGGGGTTCAGGGGTTCAGGGGTTTAGGGGTTTAGGGGTGTAGGGGTTGAGGGGATTAGGGGTTCAGGGTTTAGGGTTGAATTTGGGGTTTAGGGGTCTAGGGTTGAATTTGGGGTTGACACAGAACATATCAGATGGATAGTCGTTACCACATTGAATACACTTTCTCAAGTCTTCGGTCACCCCCTACAATAGTAAGGCGTCGTGGCTTAAAACCCTTTTCTCACCATGAGGTCTGGGGTCAGCGACCCTCATGGGAAGAAACCCAAAGACTTAAACCCGGAGCTTGGAAATGACGGCAGCAGAGGGTTTTTCCCGTAGTAAGATCCACCCTCATAGGAAAAACCCAAAGACTATAACCCGGAACTTGGAAATGACGCCCGCATAGGATTCTACTATAATACAACTTAGTAAGATTATATTTCTGCTTCTCCGTTGGGGTATAAAGTTTGCCATTTAGCATGCATCCAACGAAGAACACAACACAGCAAGGGAAGATGGTTTCAGTTCTGTGGTATGAAAGTAACGTCTATACCTTCGCCTGTGAGTTTGTGTGCTGGATTCAGTAGGCGGGTTGAGAATGCTGTGGCGGGAGATGGAAGGCGAGTAGGGGTGGAGGTCTGGGGACAGCATCTGCTTGCTTCTGGGGTAGGGGAGCATATCCCTGCCTAACGCCGTGGGGCTACGCCACGTAAACCCTAGACCCTAGACCCTAGACCCTAGACCCTAGACCCTAGACCCTAGACCCTAGACCCTAGACCCTAGACCCTAGACCCTAGACCCTAGACCCTAGACCCTAGACCCTAGACCCTAGACCCTAGACCCTAGACCCTAAACCCGACACCCTACACCCCACACCCTACACCCTAAACCCAAACCCTAAACCTTAAATCCTCAGCTCAACTGCCCACGGAGGCCTCGGCAGGCTGGCAAGAAGCCCGGGAGGTCTTCATCGCTGAGCTGACGACGCGCGCGCTTCCGGAAGGCTTCAGGGGTTTAGGGTTTAGGGTTTAGGGTTCAGGGTTTAGGGTTAAGGTTTAGGGTTGAGGGTTTAGGGTTTTGGGTTTCGGGTTTCGGGTTTAGGGTTGAAGGCTTAGGGTTTCAGGGTTTAGGGCTTGGGGTTTAGGGTTTAGGGTTTAGGGTTCCAGGGTGTCAGGGTTTATGGGGTAGGGTTTGGGGTTGCCCAGCGGCTTGGCAGAGTTCAGGGTTTAGGGTTTAGGGTTTAGGGTTTCGGGTTAGGTTTCAAGAATTTGATTTATGTACGTAGGGGTTGCCTAGGTTTCAGGATTTATCCTTCTGGGGGTTAAGGTGTAAAGATTTAGGGATCAGGGGTTTTAGGAGTCGAGGGCCTTAGGGTGTAGGATTCAGGTTTCAAGGTTAGGGTTCAGCCGGTATGTGGTAAAGGGTTTGGGGTTCAGGAGCCAGGTTTTGGGTTTTCAAGCTTCAAGGTTTTCGGGTGTTGGTCTGGGGCAACACGTTTGTTGCATAAAGACGCCGGGCTTAGGGGATCCTACTGTGAATGCACCCTAGCTGTAGGCAGCTGTTGCATTTAGGGTTTAGGGTTTAGGGTTTAGGGTTTAGGGTTTAGGGTTTAGGGTTTAGGGTTTAGGGTTTAGGGTTTAGGGTTATATAGGGTTTAGGGTTTAGGGTTTAGGGTTTAGGGTTTAGGGTTTAGGGGTGGTCGTTTGGAAAAGGGCGAGATCTCCGCCAGTCCTTGGACTTTGTTCAAACCTGCCTAAACCCTAAACCCCAAACCCCAAACCCGAAACCCGAAACCCTAAACCCTGAACCCTGAACCCCAAACCCTAAACCCCAAACCCTAAACCCTAAACCCTGAACCCTGAACCCTGAACCCTAAACCCTAAGCCCCTTTTGGGGTTTTCGGGGGTTCGCAGGCAGAGCGGCCGACATCGCGGCGGGAAGAGTCCGCTGAGCAGCAGTATTGGAAAGATCAAAAGGTTTAGGGTTTAGGGTTTAGGGTTTAGGGTTTAGGGTTTAGGGTTTAGGGTTTAGGGTTTGGGGCCCAGTTGTGAACCCGAGCTCGACCCCAAACCCATAAATGCCTGAACCCGATGTGTTTAGGGTAAACCCTGAGCCCTAAACCCTAAACCCTAAACATCTCTAAGCCCCGAAAGCCAAGGTTTGGTTCAACCTAGCCGTGGCGCAGCAAGCGCGCGGCGCCTTTGACGCCGCGCTGCGGAGCTACCAGCGGGCGCGAGGCCCGGGCGTTCAGGGTTTAGGATTTAGGGTTTGGAGTTTAGG